TGTGAAGTCCGGCCACGAGAGGGTGGGGGAGCGACCTGTGAGCGATTTGTGAGGAAAGCTTGGGAGAGAGGACAAAATTGGAAAAACAACACTCTGAATGGTTTAGAGAAGACCCAAATGCAAAATGGTTAAGAGAGGTTGTGTAACCATTAAGAGCCTCTTTTTTTTGTCAAACAACCTTAACCTCTTACCGATTAAGAGGTTGACTCTTAATGTAACCATTAAGAGCCAAACAAACAACCCCTAAGTATTATGTTAGAATTGAATGATTATTCTAATTATATTTTAGATTTTTTTATATTTAAAATGAAATATTTATCTAATATATTTGATTATGTTTATCTGGAGTTAGTTACACGAATTCAAGTATGGAGCTTCAATAAGTTGTACTCATGCACAATTTACTTGTAATCTTAAATTTTAAGTAATATGCATCAATAAACAATACTTCGTGCATAAAAAATGGTTTTTAAGAGTTTTTGTCAAATGCTTTATAATATAGTATATATATAGATATTTGTTTTAGAAATAGGAGATTACTCAAAATATGTAATAAGAAATCAATAATATAAGGAAATAAACGGGGGTAGTTTCTAAATCTTAAATATAGATATAAGTTGCATTGTCTCATATGATTGGTAACTTTTTTCAAAATGTACGAGTTTTTTTGGTTAAAAACAAAAATCTACTAAATTCTAATACAAAAAATGCAAATGGAATAATCAAAAGAGTACGGGGGACATGAATGATGGAGAATATATCAAAGTTTTCAAGGCAAGATACTTTTAGATTTTGGTACTAGATAAAAAAACTTGTAAAACAATTTCATATATTTTCTTGTCCAATGTAATTAATTAATACTAGAAGGGTACTCGCGTAATGCAGCGAGATACATCTTGATTTTAATATTTTATTTTATTTTTTATCTCAGTTGATATTATAGTATGATCTTATGTGATTTAGAAAAAACGATGATATTTTTATTTTTGAATGAAATATAAACTTGAAAATATCATCAAAATTTGACAAAAATATATCGATAATAATATCAAATTAATTATTTAAAATTCATATTTTTTGTGTAATTTTTTAATTCAAAATTTTTATTATAATTTAATTTAGGTCTAATAACGAAATAATTTATATTTGGTTTAATAATATAATTTTTTTTATAAAGATGATAATTAATTATTTTGTTAGAACTCGATAATTATTCTAATTATATTTTAGATTTTTTATATTTTAAAATGAGATGTTTATCTTCTATTTGATTATGTTTATCCGCAGTTATTTACATGAATTCAAACATGGAGCTTTAATAAGTTGTACTTATTTATAATTACTTATAATCTTGAATTTTAAGTAACATGCATCAATATACAGTACTTCATGCATATAAAATAGTTTTTAAAAGTTTTTGTCAAATGCTTTATAATACAGTATAGATATGTTTGGGTCATATTTTTGATTTCCTTCAAATATAGCTAAGGTTTGATGAATGAATTCGTGGTTTTTTTTTTTCCGTTCTATTTATCTACTTTTGCAATTCCTCAAACCTTGTTTTGCCACTTTCGATTATGGGGGAATCTGAAGGAATTTTGGAGGAATTGATTGTTGGTTTTTGTGTTCTTAGGGGGTGTTTGAGATTGTTTATTTGAAACAACTTATGCTTTTCTATAAAAACACTTGTCAACTTATTATAAGTCATAAGAGTTTAATTTCTTCAAAAACTCCTTATTACCGGTTTGACACCGGTATAAGTTGTTTATCCAAACACTCAAAAGTGCTTATTACCGGTGCAACACTGAAATAAATGACTAAGGGGGTGTTTGGAATTACTTATAAAAGCTGTTTTTTAACTTATTTCAGTCTGACACCAGTGATAAGTTGTTTTCTGGTGTATGGATAAGAAAAAAAACTGCTTATACCGGTGCCAAACCGGTAATAAGTTGTTTTTGATAAGTTAATCATTCATGATTTATAAAAAACTGTTTATTACCAATTTACAATTTTAACCTTGTTTTATTTAACTCCGATTTAATGCCACATAAGTTAATAAACACTTTTACAAAAAAAACATAAGTTGTTTTAAATAAGCAATCCCAATATAAACAATATCAAGCACTCGCGAAAACTTCGTACTACCAAATAGGGGTGCTTAAAAACCCGATGAACCCGACCAACCCAACCTGAATTAAAAAAAAACCAACCCGAGGTAACCCAATGCATGATCGATAAAAAAATTAGCCAACCCGACCTTATTGGGTTGGAATCGGATCAGGCCCAAAAAAACCCGACCAACCCGATGAACCCGACCTTAACTTTAACTTTGAATTGTAGATGACAATCATGACATGACCAACCTCAACGTCAAAAAAGTAAAAACATTGGGATTAGAAACGTCTAAAACTATTGTTGTTGATTGATGTATTATCATTTGGTTTAAACATTTTAATTGTAATATCTAAATAGTTGATAAACTTGCATATTATCTTGAATGGTCGGTCATATTTCAATGGAAAGTTTTCTTTATTTTTATGTGATTTTACATTGTTTAAACTCAACCCGATCAACCCGAACGAGTTGAATTGGATTGGATTGAATTTTTGTTTGAATTGGGTTGAATTGAAAATTTTTAAACCGTCAACATGGGTTGTTAAAACCACTCCAAACCAATCAAGCGAGCCGTGAGCACCCCTACTACCAAACCCTAACTCTCGAACTCACAGGACGAAAAGCAACATGGAGGGCTGAATTCCATAGAAGTGACAGATTGAGAGCGGCTATTGTTTGATTGATGGAGGCTTCCTTACAGCTATACTCTCCTCTCTTCACACCCATCTATCCCCACATCAATTCACTCTCCCTACCGTTTCACCACAAACCCAGAAGAAAATCTCTTCCACTTTTACCACGATGCTGCTCCAGCGAGGCCACCAGCAAGAAGCTAGTGGGGTTCGTAGACTACGACAGAGGAGAACGACAAGTCTCACTGCACGTCAGCGGTTTCAGGAAGTCCGATTTATCCAAGCGCAACCGGTTGCGGGTCCAAGGTGACCGTTTTCAAAAGGATTGGGCCATTTCGGATCTGGTTTTCAAGATTTTAAAGCTCAATCAAGGGGAAGATATCGATGGTTTGCTTAATCGATGGGCTGGTAGATTTGCACGCAAGAATTACCCTGTCCTTATCAAGGTAACTTAATTTTGGCTGTTATTTGGAGTTCTATGTGCATATGTTTTCAAGAAATAGCTACATTTTGATTCTTTTAGGTGTAAGGTACCGAATTTCCACTTTCGGATTGATAAGAATTATGAACATTGTAGAAAATTTCCAATGAGTAGAAAATTTAGGTGTAAGGTACCGAATTTCCACTTTCGGATTCTTTTAGGTGTAAGGTACTGAATTTCCACTCTCAGAAGATGTTTCCCCTTCTACATTAGAACTGGCTCCGATGCCGGAACAAGGTGCTCTCTCTTCGATGCTAGAAACGGGTAACAATGTTGTTGAAGGGTCACAAAGACCTACAGAACTAGAAGACCTTCTTCATATCTGCAAGATTATGATTATTTAATAGGAAAAGAACCCCCCAAGAAGAAGGAAACATTAACAATATCATGGTGGAAGTATCTGAAGACCTAAGTACATTCGAGGAAGCAGTAAAAAACGATTATGGAGGAAAGCAATGAAAAGTGAGATAGTCAAGAGAGAAAAGCAGTACTTGGAAACTTACTTCCTTGCCTCCAGGAGCAAAGAAGATTGGTGTGAAGTGGGTATACAAGACAAAACTGAATGAAAAAGAAATAAATAAGCATAAGGCCAGACTCGTCGCTGAGGGCTATGCTCAACAATATGGCATCGACTACGAGGTTTTTGCTCCGGTAGTGCGATGGGATACAATACGCATGTTCTTGGCGTTTGCAGCACGAAAGGAGTGGAGCATTTATCAATTAGATATCAAGAGCGCCTTTTTACATGGAGAACTATGTGAAGGTGTGTACGTTGAGCAACCTTTGGGCTTGGTACACACAGGAGGACACAGTCTAGAAACTTAGCAAGGCACTGTAAGGCATAAATGTCACATAAACACAAAGAAAACAAGTAAAATAAGTACTCTTCAAGATCAAGAATCAAACTTTATGACCAATCTTTTAGTATTTGAAATTAAACTAACAAGCATATCAACAAGGTTGTGTTTATGGCATTTCATTGAACAGTTGGAGGGCATCCTCAAGCTTGGTAATATTATAAAAAATGAGCAACAAATCAAACCACAAACATAAAGCAAATAACAATGAGAAACCAAGATAGGCACATTAGCAAATTGGAAAAGATAGAAAGACAGATCCCTTAAATCAAATATGAAAAAGGAAGAAACATAAATCAAGCATTGAGAGGAGTGACTATTAGAAATCAAAAATCAACACTCGGAATAACCTAGGGTAGTGCTAGATTGGAGTATCATTTGATGCCCTTTGGGCTGTGATGCCTAATGCCATTGCTCGGGCTGCTTATCATTTGATGCCCTTTGGGCTGTGATGCCTAGTGCCATCGCTCAGGCTGCTTATGGCTAGTGTTGACTCTGTCAATATGTTTGAGTACATGTATATTTATATAACTTGTGTTTTTTCTCTTTCTTAATCATGATACATTACTTGAGTATGTTCTTATATGTTGGGCTGTGTTTATAATTAGGCAAATTGCAAATTCTCATCTTGGCAAAGATAAACCAAAGTGTCCGGTGCATGTCTTGATTCCTTCGTTCCCATTAATTTGTGGTTAATATTTTGGGGATGTAGTCAACGCCACATGCAATGCACGCCCTTGAAGAACTACGACCTCCAAAGGACCCAATATGGAGATCTATAGGGATAGAAGCACCCGGTTTCTTAGTTGTAGAACCTTATGTTCGAGGTTTGTCAAATACTTAAAACATTAGATCTTTGATAAATAAGATTTAAAGTAATGAAATACTGGTCTTAGATGATCTAAAAGAGTGCTTTTGATCTAGATAGACCAAATTACATTCTAGCTATGATTTTGATGGTGAAGAACTTGGTAATTTTTGCAAGCACACAAGGTCGTGCCGGAGGTAGTACCAATGTGAGATACGGAACAGGACCCCAAATTCTTTTAGGGTCCACTTATACTTTTACCATATTATATACATTTTAACTTTTAGCCCAATCTTTTCGGCCTTCTCCATGTTACTTTTGCTCAACTGCACAATTATAATGTCTTTTAGCAAAAGAAAGGAATTGAAACGATCATTCAATCTCAAAAAGAGCTCTTGATATGTTTGTCAAAAAGAAGCACAAACTTCCATTGATAATCAACATGTTGATGTTAGTTTGGGTGATATTCATGTTGTTGCTTCAAATGAAATCCTAATTCGGTGAATTTAGTTGGCACTCAAAATGAATCCAATGAGGATTTGGCTACTAATGTTGATGCTAGTGATAGTTTGGATGATATTCATGTTAATGTTAATGGTTCTAACGATGTTTTTGATACTTTTGATGATGTCCTTGATGCTACTAATGCTTTTAATCATGTTGATGATGATGTTTTTATAGTTTTCATCTATTTGATCCAAGAAATTGGGATGCTTTGGATTGTAAAATGATTGGTGTGCTAGTTGCAAAGGGTTCTAAAAGAAATTTGTCTGTTACAAAATGTTCTAAAGATGGACTTTTTAAACCATTTTCTGGCACATGTTACACTAGAATTTTATCAAATGGGGAGACGTGATAAATATAGGCTTGCGTAATCGGTGGAGCTCGATAAAGTATTTTTGTTTTGGTTGTAATTTTTCTAATAAAAAGGCATGTAAAAGGCCAATTAGCAAATGATGGATTTGGGGATTAAGTCACACCTTAGCATTAGATTTTCTTTCAAACAATGTTTGAAGAATGATTCCATTTAAAGTACATTGTATGACTGTCATTTTAAGACATTTTTGTTGTTTTACTTCGTAAGCATTTAATGGAATATATGATATGAGTTTTTATATTTTGTTTTATTGTTTACTGGTACAGTCGATATGGTACTATTAGTACATGGGTAACAGGGCCGTACAACTAAACCTGGCTGGCCAAGATAGGACCTTGCATGGTATCCTAGTTTATCTTTTTCATATTGGGTTGTAATTACGCAATAATTTGTTATTCACTTGTTTGAAGACTCCATATAATACATGTAGTGTGATTCTTGGGGGCTGTGAATGATCAATTTTAGTGAAGCGGTTGTATGTGGAAGTTCAATCTCATACTTGTGTTCTTCATTTGCTAGTGTAGGAAATTAGCAGGACAGGTTCCATTGAGCATAGTAATCAAGTTTTCAAGTGGATGAAGAATCAGAAGAATTATTGCGCATGCAATGATATATACAACATGATGATCAGGTTACATGCAAGGCATAATCAAACAGATCAGGCACGTGGCTTATTCTTCGAGATGCAAAAGTGGAGGTATGATTTTTTTAGAGTACGTCTTGCTTACTGTTCAACTTCTATATAATATAACCCACCCTTTTCTTCGTAGTTGTTGATCCTTTATCATTCCATATCGTTATGTAATATGCTATTTATATTTGTTTATTAACTTCTTAATATCTGGCACATCATTCCATATTGATGTTTCTGACAATACTTTTGATTTTTCTCTTTTCCTTTCAGGTGCAAGCCAGATGCTGAAACTTACAACGCCCTCATAAGTGCACATGGTCGATCTGGCCAATGGCGTTGGGCAACTAATATCATGGAAGACATGCTTCGTGCAGCTGTGCGTACCTGTATCCTTCCCTTATAAGTAATCAAACATTTCTAGCTTGAGCTTCCTTATTTTCTTTGAAATCCAGATGTTTCTTTACTGGAATCTTTTTGTTATCAAAATCCAACAAGGGACTTATTGTCTGATTTCTATAATGGAAGACATGCCTTCCATTTTCACTCTCTACTTGTGTGCACAAACATATGTGTGCCTTGATCCAAATGATCTACTTCCTTCAATCTGAAAGAGAAAGCTAAACTTCTAGAATATAAAATGGGTTGTTTTTCAAATTAAAGATTTTTGTGGGTATAAATTCTTCAGACAAGTTTGATGATGACATTGAACTTTATTACTAGTATTGCAAATTGAAAAGTGGTGGTAATTGGTAACTAAATCCTTATCTGCTTTGTACTAGGTTTGACATAAACAGGTATATATATATTTTTTTTTTTGGTTAACCTGGATATCGAACCCGCTATGCGAGCCGACTAATCCAGGGCGACCACCCGCTTCATGGGTATTTTGAACCTCCGTGGCCACAAGGGGATTTTTCTCCCTTGGATTCGAACCTGGGACCTCCAGGCACTTTTGACCTTTGGAGCCCACGCTCAAACCAATTGGGCACCACCCTTGTGGTTAAAAAAAATCCTTCACCCTTGTGGTTAAAAATCTTTCTTTAGGGAATAAATGGAACAGGAAACTAGTTGTGCATCAGAATTTATGAGGGTAAAACAGACAAGTTGGATAAATTTAGCAAGAAAGATGGAAAAGTGCATTAAATTCTATACTCGGGGCTAGTTGGATGATTATGAAGAAAATCATTATAGATTGGGGTAGTAAACTAAAATATGAGGCAAGTGTATATTTAGTCAATCATAGCTGTTCGACTTGGAAGCTGCACCAGCGACGTGACTCCTGACTAAATGCTGCAGGAAATATATTGGCCAACCATCAAATTAATTTGTAAATGTAGCTGCCAGTGAGCACAATAAGTTGCAATAACCTTTTCTGTTTTATATTAGAAATGCATACATGCACATGCAACGCTTACGAGTTTGAGCCTACAGTTATCCTTTTCAAGCTTGAATTTGTTCATTTGGATTCTGAGTTCTACATCTTTTTCCTTTACTTATTTTATTAATAAGACACTAGTACCTCCTATTCATCCAATTCATCTAATAAGAATAGTTTGACTTGGGATGCTCTTTGACTGCCTGAAAGATTGTAGTTTTATGGTATCATCCCATTTTTACATCAAATTATATCTTATTCGCTTCAAGTGATATTTTTAAATTTGTTAACTGAACCCACTTGTTTGTTGTTGTTAGTCAAATGCATCAGGGTATTCATTTTTTTGGTTTATTTATGCAAATTTTTGTATTTCAGGTTCCTCCGACTAGGTCAACATATAACAATCTAATCCATGCCTGTGGATCCAGCGGAAATTGGAGAGAGGCCCTGAAAGTTTCCAAGAGAATGACGGAAAATGGGGTTGGGCCTGATCTTGTGACTCACAATATAGTTTTATCTGCCTTCAAAACAGGGTCTCAGTATTCGAAAGCACTCTCCTATTTTGAATTAATGAAGGGAACAAAGATTCGTCCTGATACTACCACTTTAAATATCGTGATCCATTGCCTCGTGAAACTGGGACAATTTGACAAAGCAATTGATATTTTTCATTCAATGAGGGAGAAGAGAGCGCAATGCAATCCAGATATTGTGACCTTTACTAGCATCATTCATTTGTATTCAGTTTATGGGCAAATTGACAACTGCAAGGCTGTTTTCGACACAATGATTGCTGAAGGTCTTAAACCTAACATTATATCTTATAATGCACTTTTAGGTGCGTATGCTTCCCGTGGGATGAGTGAAGAAGCATTATCGGTATTTAATGATATAAAGCGAACTGGATATCGCCCAGATGTTGTATCTTATACATCATTGCTCAATGCTTACGGAAGATCACAGCAACCTGAAAAGGCCATGGAAGTATTTAACATGATGAAAAAGAATAACCGGAAGCCAAACCTAGTCACTTACAATGCACTGATTGATGCCTTTGGATCCAACGGTCTCTTGCCAGAAGCTGTGGATATGCTCCATGAAATGGAAAGAAATGGAGTGCAACCAAATATTGTTTCAGTTAGTACTTTGTTAGCCTGTTGTGGTCGCTACGGTCAAAAGGTGAAAATTGATTCCATACTTGCTGCTGCTGATTCACGAGGAATTTATTTGAATACTGTTGCATATAATTCTGCGATAGGAAGTTATATGAACAACGGAGAATATGATAAAGCATTAGCTTTATACAGGTCCATGTGGGAAAAGAAGGTTAAACCTGATTCAGTTACCTATAACGTGCTAATTAGTGGTTGTTCTAAAATGTCAAAATACACTGAAGCTCTTCAATTTCTTGATGAGATGCTGGCTTTGAAAATTCCTCTGTCCAATGAGGTTTATTCATCTGCCATTTCCGTTTATAGCAAACAGGCAAGTTGTTTTCTGTCTCTAGTTCACACTTCTTATTCGAAGCAATTTGCCATTCAATCTCATGGTTTCACCTCTCTTTGACACACATTATCAGGGCCAACTTTCCAAAGCGGAGTCCCTATTCTCAACGATGAAGATGACAGATGGTGGTCCTGATGTTATTACATACACAACAATGCTACATGCATATAGTGCTGCAGGTAATATTCTTACCTTTAACTGCGATTTTTAAAGCGTCAACCATATTTAAGCATTAGAAGAAAGTTGTCAAGATCTATGTTTTGTTGCAGAGAAATGGGATAATGCATTTGCATTGTTCCAGGAAATGAAAATGAATGGTGTCGAGCCAGATCTTATAGCTTGTTCAGCATTGATGAGGGCTTTTAATAAAGGAAACCAACCTGCTAAAGTTCTTGTCATAGCTGAATTTATGCTGGAGAGGAAGATACTAATGAATGATGCCATCTACTTTGAGATGTTGTCTGCCTGTAGTATGTAAGTTCTATATGCTGTTAAGATTCTACCTGGAATTCATTTCACATCCCAGTTTTACTACTTACAAGTTACAACCATGCACATTTGCAATGTTTTTGATTATGCATCTTGTTTTTTGCTTCCCTCATGGCATGATGTCCTAACCCTTTCTTTCATGTTTCTTGGAGTCAAATGTTGCTTACTCTTCACCATAAATAATGCTTTTATTTGATTTTAGCCTACGAGATTGGAGGAAGACAATTGAACTAATTGGAGTGATGGAGCCATCGTTCAATGTAATGTCCATTGGACTTCTGAATCAGCTTCTGCATTCTATTGGAAAATTGGGGAAGACCGAGACCATGATGAAGGTTATTGAGTTTTATACTTGGAGCAACTACTTAGCATCATGACCAGTAGAGGTCTCCTGTCTCATGCCCCCCTCTTTGTGATGATGTATGCAGATATTCTATAAGATAGTGGCAACGGGTGCTGAAATTAACAACTCCACTTATACGGTTTTGCTAAAGAATCTTCTGGCTGCTGGAAATTGGAGAAAGTACCTTGAGGTAACCTCCTCAAACTTCATTTAGGATTTACTTGAGCTCTTTGTTAATATTGAATAAAATGCACCACTTGTTCTTAAAAGTAGTTTGGAATAAGATATCTACCCACAAGTGCACGAGGTCCGCAATTAATAACTTAATAAGGTTATGGCTATTTCCCTAATACAACATCACAAACAGTCAAGCACAAGAGGCATGAATCAGAATTAATGTTGACAGTGAGATGTGGATAGATGACAATTAGCAGAAAATGGAATCCCTGTAGTCATGATAAAATCTTCCAATGCAAATGTTTGTTTTCGGTAGAATAGTAATCAGATATAGATTAATGGAGAGTTATAGATAGACTCCAATAAGGAAACGTTTGTAAATAAGTGCTTATCTTATATTGTTAGGAGTTGTAGTTGTAGTTGTAGTTGTAGTCTATCTCCTAATCTCTACCTGTACATATAGTTCCTTATGCTGTAATCAACATATAGTAGAAAATAATATTCTTCCTACTTCTCTAAAGCTTTTATTCCCACTTTTGTAAAGCTTTTATGGTATCAGAGCTCTAAAAAGCTTTGATTGTTTTCCAGATTCCCCCCCCCCCCTAAAAACTCCGGTGTGAACAGTAGCTCCGGCGTGAACAATGTTTAGTCAACAACCACCATGGGATCAGACCCAGAAAAATCGGACCACTCAAAAAGCATTCCTAATCCTGCCAATTCTGAAAACAATCTCTCTCCAAATTACAATCTCTAAGCTGTCCGGATCGAACTACCTTCAATGGTCTAGATTTGTCCAACTCATTATTCGTGGGAAGGGGAATCATGGCTACATCGATGGCTCCATTGAAAAACCCTTGTTTACAGATCCCTCGTTTGCTGAATGGGATATTCAGAACTCCATGGTTATGGCATGGCTCATCAACTCGACGCAAGACAACATTGCAAAAATTTACCTCCTCTACCCTACTGCAAAATCTATCTCGAAGACTCCTCACAGATGTTCTAGCTTCGAACTAAGGCTCGAAATCTGAGACAAGATGCCGATAATGTTACTATTGACTTTAATGCGTTAACTTAATTTTGTAAAGAATTGGATTTTTTTTCTCAACCTGAGTGGAAGGATCCAATAGATGCTGAGTTATACAAGAAGATACTTACCAAAGAAAGAACCTATGATTTCTTGGCCGGTCTTGATTCCCCACTTGATGTTCGAGGACGTATTCTTAGCATTAAACCCCTACGAGTAATTGGTGCCATCTTCGCCGAAGTTCATCGAGAAGAACATCGGAAAAGGACCACGGTGACAATTCTTAATGGAACACCACATCGAGTCTGAAACCGCTGCCATGGTTGCACATAACCATGGACCCCGTAAGCCTATTCTTTGGTGTGACCACTGTCAACGTCCCCATCATGCAAAGAGTACTTGCTGGAAGATCCAAGGAGAACCTGTTGATTAGGTACCTCGGAGCCAACGAATTCCATAAGCCAAACTGGACAACTAACCCATTCTGTCTCGCATTCTCTTTTTCAAATACTTCCTTCCCCATAAGGCCCCGGAAGTTGTATCTTATTGAGTGGACTTATCATCATCACGCTTCAAAAAAAAGTGTCCAACTTTGCGCGTGGCCTAGCTTTATGCCCGACTCTATGGCTTACTTGCTTCCCTTTCCCCTGCGAAGTAAAAAAATGTTATGGAAATGGAGAGATAATGGAAAGAAAGAGACCACTACTTCGCTTCTTAAATCCTTGACCTTCTCTTCTTCCCGAACTCTACCACMGGAACAACAAGACGATTTAAGATTACTTACGGGCTGCTTATCGATTCTTGTTTTTCGATAGGAAGCTGAAGTCGTTAGTATCTTTGAAAGTTCCAATCGATGATCTTTACACAATATGATGCAAAGATCAAAATCCTTTGAACTGGCAATGACACTGAGTATTTCAATTCAGCCATGTCTAGCTTTACCACAAGACATGGTGTTATACACCAAAGCTCGTGCATTAATACCCCTCAACAAAATGGTGTCCCCGAAAGAAAAAACCGTCACTTGCTACTTGCTAGAGGTATCACGATCCCTACTCTTTCAAAGTCATACACCCAAATCTTTTTGAGGTGATGCAATTCTAAAAGCCTGCTATCTCATTAATCGGTTGCCTTCACATGCATTAAAATTCCAAACACCCCTAGCCGTCCTACAAAAATCCTTAAGGCTTATGTCTCTTCCAATCTTGATCTGCGAGTATTTGGTTGCTCTTTTGTCCATGTTCAAAAAAGGTCCAAACTTGACCCAAGGAGTGTGAAAGGTATCTTTGTTGGTTATCCTACCTTCCAAGAGGGATATTGATGCTACTGTTCAAAAGGAACAAAAATACTTCGTTTCATCGATCTGACCTTTCTTGAAGATCAATTCTATTACTCTCCTCAATCTAACCAGAGAGCCGAAATATCCCATCTTATAGGAGCCGAAAGCTGGGAACAATTCTGGGCTTCTGATCCTCCAATCACCTGACAAAAGAACTAGCCAGAAACCACCTCACCCGAACCTAGTGATGGCCAAAATTCGGTCCCGGGGTCCTTAACCGGGCCTAACCAAGCCAAAAACCGGCGGTAACCAGTCCCGGTTCCGGTCCCATACCCGGTCCCATTCAAAAAAAAAAAAAATTTTAAATTTTTTTCAACCTTTTGGTTATTAATAAAATTTTAATATGTTATTAATATGTTTGTAATATGTTTTGTTATAAATATGTTTTATTAAAAATACGTTTAAAAATACGTTTTGTTATA